ATGCGGTCCGACCTCGTAAAAGTAATGACCAAGTTGTTGCACCATCATCTTCAAATTGCCGATAGCGCGGACAGGAGCGTTACACCGTACTTACTCGATTATCTGCGGGTGCTTCAGTTGATCATGGACACTAGTAGAAGAATTGTAGTAGGTAAGCAAAACAATGAGAACGTGTCTGTTTACCTGATTGATAATCTGTGGATATTGATATTGCTTTTCTTTGTGCCTGACGTGAGTTGTCGCTTCTATTCTGCATCCCTAAACGCTACGTAAGCCTCATTGGGTGCGTCTTCTCATTTTTTCGGTGGCTTCCGGTTCAAAATGTGTGCAGCATTAGCCCCAATCGCTGCGGCAGAAGTTGTGTTCGGTAAATCTGCATCATTGATCGAACTGTGTGAATAGGCCTGAGGAGCATGAAGTGTCTGATCGGCTAACGACTAGCACTTATCCCATAAGCATGTCAGCAAGCTTATTGTATCAGTCGAAGACATTTATCTTTGTTCGTCCTACAGTCATTGACTCGAAAACCTTTTCTAAATGCGACATTGTCGGATGTCACATTACCGGATTTAGTGTACTGTTAGCTTAGAGGATAAATGGCTGATAGTGTTTAGATTTCGGAGTTAGCTCGTAGACATTAATCTGCATTGGCCAAGAGATTGTGTGATACTTCGTAAAGAATGGCAATGTCCGTGACATGACGCGTCTTGATCACCGTACGACCACCATGTAGAAGCACCTTGTAGCCTTTTATTTTTTTCGTTTTTTCGAGGATACACCGTCGACATTGTGAACTCCGATCATTCTTGACAGATTCACGCCAGCCTTGATATGAAAAAATGACACAACGACGTCGTGACGGACTGGCTCAATATAGCATGACCGTCTTTTCAGCTCTGCCGCCTGTGTCGAAAGCGTACAAAAATTGGCAGCCTTCCTTTTTCATTGACCACACAAATTGAGACGCAGGTCCTTCTAATTTCATGGAGCGTAGTGATATTTTAAGACCTAAAAGTATGTAAATACGCCATTGAGGCACATTTTAATCGTGACTTGCCAATTTTAGCTTCATACAGCTTAGCCTCTTTCTATTTTAAAGACCATCTATTTTATTTCACGCCACACCATCAAGTTGTAGTCGCCCATAAAATTCAACTTGCTCCAAATTATATTCGAATTATACCGGTCTGTCAATTTGAGAGCTGTGCAAATTTTAGCGTCTTTGTAAAACTGGTACGTCTGAAATAAACTGTTTGTTATTCGTGGTGCTACCGCGACCTCCTCCGTGTGTAAGTCAAGTCGAAAAGTCTTTCTCCTGATGTCCAATTCAACTTAAGTGTGGGATTTATCGGCTCGACGAAACTTCAACAACATCGCAAACCGTATGAATGACATATCCGGTCTTCCCCGATACTTCGAGCTTAAGCATTGGCTCTTGAGCGTACGCAAATTATTAAAGATAATTCTAGTTGACCAACTATCTATGATGTGTTCTTTAGACCCACATGTTTGACTTTATTATCACTAATTCTAATCTCGCTTGACCAAGTGACACGAGCCAGATGCACCAAGCAAAGAAGGTGCTAAAACGACGTGCAACGGGATGACATGCGGTTATTAAACGGGTTATGTTGTGTGCCCACATTAGGAAAAGATCTGTGGATCCTAGTGGTACAGCATTAATACCATGTACTAACGGTAATACCGCAACTTATCGGGTATTAGGGTTAAGACTTCTGTCATAGGATCGCACTCTAGAGATCAGAAAAGGTTTCATGGTTTACTACCGTAGTTAAAAAAATTTAGTAAATTAATTAAAGGAGTTCAGTAGCCTTTTGGGTCGTATGACACGAGTGACTAGTCTATGCGTAGTGGGTTGTAAGAGCTTTATCTTTGTATAGGATAAATTGGGTTTAACTTATAGTCGCTAGTAAGTATGTGATTCTGTGAATCATTACTCCTATTGAGCTGAAAATATTAAGCTAGCACGCTTGAACAACTTCACGTCATTGTTAGTTTGTTGTAACAAACTCTTAAAGTCTAAGGCTTACTCTGTTAAGGAGCGCTTAGTAGCTTCGCTACGCACTCTATCCAAATTCAAAGTCTGTCACTTATTACGTTGTCTAGCTTCCTTCGAAATATTCTACATTGCTGTATGCTGGAGCCATCTGTTTCAATTTTTAATCTTTTTAATATCCTTGGCAACCAGAATTGGTAACTACTATTGTAATAAGGGTTTAGCCCTCGCGGATAGTCTAATTGGTCCGCATCTTGGTGGTGCTGAGAGGTAGATCACGCGGCGTATCACACGAGCGGGATTGCATCCTCTTGTCGCTCGGCCTTGATCACCTTGATGCCTTCGTGTTATCATCATGAGTGACATAATAAAAAAAGTCCTCGGTCGCATGTCGCCATTCGACAATGGCTCAAGTATGGTCTGGGCATTTTAACTTTACCTTATTCCCAGACGCAACATGATGTCGAAGATGAGGTCACAAACATAGCGTCGATCACATGACAGCGCGGATGCATTTTAACTTTATACAATGATTGCCCACCTCTCTTTTACTTAGGACATAAAAACGAGATCATTAAACAGCTCGGCTGTCGTATGGCGCTGATTTTGAAGAAGATGTTTATTCCCGCTTCAAAATTTTAAAGGTAATGTCGATCCTTCAAAATGTGACATACGACAAATGTAATGATCCTTGTTCTCATCCAGATGAGTACCGTCGAAATTGTGCTACATATACACGCAAAACTTCACTAAGGACGTCACTGGTTGGCCTGGTTACAGCTATCGATTCTTACTTTTATTAAGTACATGCTTTTATTTGTTATTAGGTTGCTTCTAGCAGGGGACAGGTTTACCACTGTTTGGTCACCCTGGGAATGGGGCAGCATTTGTTGGTCAATTTTCGAACTCATTTGCCAATCCAAAGCTTGGTATGTAAGTCCACGCGGGTTGCTACTAAAGAGGCCAGAAAGGCGGTTGAAAGCACGCGTGCACCCGATGAGGGTACCACTCAAGCATCAGGAGCAGGTGATCGCTCACCTGCTCTTGCAAGTGAGAAACAGGAATTGCCTGTTGCGAATAATCCACGTGGTGAACACTGCGTGCGAAAAATGCATCCGATACTTCTGTAGCGGGTGTTACATCTCGCAATACGGATGCGTCTGAGATAGAGCTTAACCATATATCGGAAAGCAGATGACGCATACGACTTGAAGGCGGCGCCTCCTGCCTTCGGAACACCCGGGGAGGACCCTGCAAGAGCCGGATCGACTGAATTTGAGAGACATGAGGCCATAATGTCCAAGATTTTCGGACCAAGCGATTCGTCTGGCGAAACCTCGCATTACGCAAGTACATTTCCTGGTACACGTGTTAATGGTGCTGACGCACCTTCAAGTCACCGCGCAAGAAGCAAATCAAGGGATGGAGCTACTTTCGGATGTCTGCGTTCAATCTGACACTTCTTAAGAGACCACAAACCAAATTGTTCTGCGCTATTATTTTTGAGTGGGGTCCACTTGAATGCCGTCATCCAAAGAGATGGATCGAGTGGCCGTTATGAACACCGGAAGGGACCAATTCACGTTGTTCGACTGTAGGAGGATCTGTCCTCCTAATTCCAGCACGGAAACTATCCGTGCTATGGAAGAGTTCTTTAGCGAAGTGTTATTTAAACCTCAGTAATACAACGGCTCCCGTGGCTGTGATTGTAAAGCCTTGGATCAGGGATGGAATGATTTCATCCAGAATATCGAGTGCTTTAGCCGTAAGTATTGGATCGATAATCTTGATGCAGCTCGCATCTGGTTTGAAGCATGCAGCCCAGTCGGGTTGCGGTACAAGTTGAACCGAAAGTCAATAGAGGCAGAGTTGCCCTGTATCGCTTCGGGCGATCGATGTCCAGGGTGCCCGACAATGCTAATCGTGCCCCTAGGGAGGCCTACCTCTCTACTGCTTCAAACTGGAAGGCGTGCACCTCAGCTGAGGTGGCTAAAGGAATTGACCTTTGCAATCCCTTCACTCGCATTCGGGGAGGTCGTTTTCCGACGGCCTTCTTCGAACGCAGCGGGTGGGTATCGTCATACTGTTCGACGAGACCCAGAACATCAGCGAACAGCTGGGCACGAGGCTCCCAGCTGTCTTAAGTCGGTAGATAGCCACGCCAGCAGATGAGGTAACTCGTCTCGACTCCATTCACGTCGCGGTGGTTCAAGATACGCTCTACTAGATAGCGTTGACCACCGCCAGAATCCACCAAAGGATGTGGTGGTGGCGGGAACGCCTGATCCGGCTCATGTGTCGGATCAGCTTGATGTTCAGGGACTGAACCGTGTAAAGAAATAGTTACACGATGACCTGGCTCATAAACGGACTCGGCGTTACGAGCTCCATGATCTCGTGAAGGGAAATTACAATGCCATATCACACGATCGTTCGGACGATCGCGCCGTGTTTGCGTTTGCGCAACTTGAAAACGAATGTTAGGTTCGTTCTCTTCAGGACGAGCTGACTGCAGCTCGTCAGGACATCGCTCAGCTGTGCGAGCAGGTCGCTTCGCTAGCCGATCAGACTGGATCATTGAAACGGGACCGCTCGAAGGTGGTCTTGCCCCTTGATCGTGGAAGTGTTCTTCGCCTCTCGAAATGGACTCGTACTGACAGTACGGGCGGAGAAGTCCAACGTAAAACGTAGGCTGCGTGCTCATCTTTCAAGAAATTTCGATTGTTTATGCGTTGCCCATGCGGAGCAATACACGAAACGAACCGATATACTTGGACAGTAGTTTTCTGGTGCCCACATTTGTCACTGCATGTTTTGGTAGATTTACTGAGCACAATTAAACTAAGTCTACGCCATTAAATAAAAGAGCGTTTTCCCTTCCATTTTGTCTGCGCTTCTTTTCTGCTTGTCTGTTGCATCTGCAATTGAGAACTGAAAGAAGCGGACAACCAATTCGCGAGTCAGCAGAAATTCCTCTGCTGATTCATCCTTGGTAATAACAGTGCGCTTTGTACGCACTGCTAAATAGAACGGCGTCTTCACCAGTGAGGGTATCATCGTCCTCACTTTGGCGGTCATTGGCGATGTTGAATTTGCCAGCATCGTCGTCATCGTCATCATCGACATCGATCTCATCGACATCGGCATCCATCACGTCGACACCATTTTCGACGGATCATGAGTAAGATCCAGATCGGTTTTTGTTCGAGCGAGTCCCCACCCACTCGTTAGACTAGAGTCACACTCTAGGAAGGCGGGTAAACAAGGATGTCATTGGCCATTTACGAAGAACGGTGTATGCGAGGTAGACGCATGCACCAGGATGTTGATGGAGAATTCCGCCATCGGCAAGAACTCACTCCAACTCATAAACGAGTGGACATACCCTCAAATTATCTCTTCGAGGACGGGGTTGACGCGTTCCGTCTGACCACCTAGTTTAAAATGGTAAGAAATTGACACCTTTAAACGTGTTCCGAGTGAACGGAACACGGATTGCCAGAACTCCGCGGTGAAGCGGGGGTCCCTGTCAGTCACGAGTTCACGGGGCAACCCATGAAGTCGGAAGATCGTACCGATGAAGACACGAGCACAGCCTGGGCTGTGATGGACTACGGTACAGCAACAATATGTACCATCTTGCTGAACGGAGTAACAAACACAAGAATACCAGCATTCTTGTGAGCATCTTTCGGAAACCCAAGGATGAAGTCCATCGATACGGACTGCTAGCACTCTTTTGGAATCGGTAGAGGCTGCAAGGGAGCACGGGATGAAGGACTAGACTTCACTCGCTGGCAAACCTCGCAATCACCAACACACTTGCGCATAATTTCACACTAGAGAGACAGTAGAAGTCACGTCTTACCGTGGGGTAAGTCTTTTCTCTACCGCGATGCTCACTGGTCGGGGCATCGTGACACTCATACATGATGCGTAATCGCAAATTATCATGAGCGGGAACGACGACACGAGGTGCGTCTCCGTTGACTGCTGTACAGTACAGAAGTCCATCACTAACCGAATACCATTCGGTTGAAGAGCGGTATTGAGACGCCAAGCTTTTCAAAGCTTGACTGCATGGATTAGACACGTTGTCCATCAACCCCAGAAGAGACTCATCTTCCTCGTAAGATTTTCGCACGTCGTCGAGCAGGTTGGACGACGAAACACTCACTGATAGTGCAGCAACAGTGGGATCATCCCCCTACCGTTAGTTGGGCAGTCGGCTCGAAATCTGGGCCGACGTGAAAGAGATCAGCGACGACATTGAGTCGTCCTGGTTTATAGTCGACGGAGAAGTTGTAATCCGCAAAGAAAGCCAGCCACCTCGACATTCGTTGCGAGAGTTGTGGACTGTTTATGGCCGTTCGTAATGACGCATGGTCGGTGTAAACAATGAAGGGCCTATCTCCTAAGAGATGTATCCGGAACTTGGCCAGTGTGTAGTTTATGGCAAGGAGTTCCTTGTCATGCACAGGGTAATTACGCTCAGCTGCTTACAGGTGACGCGATTGATAACAGACGGCGCGCTCAACGCCGTCTAAGTCGTACTGCATTAACGCACAGCCGATCGCAAAATCGCTGGCGTAAAAAAAGACCGCATGAAATGGTCTGTCCTGGTCCGCAATCGCCAACACTGGCGATTGTAATAAGCTTTTCTTGATTCCTTCAAAGGAGAGCTGACACTAAGCCCTTATGACCACCTCTCATTTTTCATTAACAGACGAGAGATGTATTGTCATCTCGGCGTAGTTGCGCGAGTACTTATGCAAGTACGCCGCCAAGCCAAGGAACTTTCGGAGTCCCTTGATGTCGATTGGTACAGGCCAGTCGCTAATCGCCTTGATCTTTTCCGTGACAAGGCGCACGCCGTTTTCATTCGCGATACATCCAAGAAGTGGTATTTCGCTCGCTGAGAAGATGCACTTCTTGAGGTTCGCGAACAACTTGTGATCTCGAATAAGTGTAAGAAACTTCCGGACGTGGATTGTATGAACCTCCACGTCCGTCTTTCCATCCATAGCCAGGCTATGGACGAAGAATTCGTCAAAGTAACTGAATACAAAATCCCGCACCGATCGCAACCGATTCGTAACGCATTCGTTGAACGCTGCAGGGGCGTTACTTAGCCCTTGTGGCATCACTAGCCACTCCTAGAGCATGCAACTGGAGGTGCTCACCGCTGTGTACAGGATGTCCCGTTCATGCATGAGGATCTGATAGAATCCATCCATCAGATCCATGGGAGAAAAGATGGTACTATTTGGCATACCATCTACGATGACGTCCTTCCTCGGTATCGGCGTCTGAGCCAGTACCGTTGCAGCATTCAACTTGTTAAATGCATGCACTATCCGCCACCCTCCTGTGACCTTTCGCAAACAGAAGGTCGGAGAGCTGTGTGGGGATGTTAATTCCCTCACATGACCAGCCGCTAAGCGATCAATAAAGAATTTGTCAATAGCAAGTACATGTTCACGAGGCAGCGGCCACTACTTCATGACACAGTACTTTGAACCGGCTTTCATCTGATCTCATGCCGAGTGCTTTAATCCTGGGGTAGCTCGCGTGGCACGGATTCAGAGAAAAACATTCTTGAATTCGACCAAATTCTATTGCAAAGGATTTGTCTTCAAAGACTCCCAAGATTGAGACGTGCATCGCTTAATCCGAGTCTTCTTATCGAAAACACTCTCGTCCATCGATGAGCTACTAAGAACCCGTTCGTTCTCAGCAAACAATTGTGCCGATCGAATATCGGCGACGTACTCGTACTCTGTGACGAGTACGCAGATCTGCTTAATCTTGTCACTACGCAGATCTCACAAGAATCTTTTAGATTTTAGCGTTGGCAACTTGATTACCTCCAAAGCTGACTTCGGGGGTGTAACCAGATCAAGTGTAAAAATGCCTACATTTGATCCGTTATTCACCAAGACATTCACTGTCTCGGTGATTTCCTGGGATAACACATCCGCACGTCGTTGGGGATCTATACCCTCAACATAACTCTTTCGGAAGTTATCACTCTCAGGAACGTTGGAACTATCTTCAAATACGTGTGCTGACTGTGTGTATACTGCCACAGTCACGTCCTCTTTGATCGACTCTCTTTTAGTCGATCGGGATTGATCTAAGATCGACTATTGTTAGTCGATCTTGCTTCAATGTGTTGTTTATCCTGACAACGCTCCTCTCTCTTCTTGGATGCACCCTTCTTGGTACACATTCGTGTTCCAGTCCACTCGATCTCTTCGAGTGGTGAACCTTCGGCGCAGCCTGTGTCTCTACACAGGTTCCTGAAGCTGGTTCCACAGTGTAGTGGCCTTCTACACTGTGATCTTGTGCAGTCGTACTAACGACCGTACCACAAGTGAGGCCATCACACTCACTCGTAGTACATCCACACGTTTGTGGACGCTCCAAAACGTCCATCAGATGGCCATCTGATGAACAAACGGCAGGCATTTTCACGGATCGATGCTGCCAGCTGACTCACGGCTGGTATTTTTTTAGCCATGGCAGACCGAGGATAACATCAAATTAGGCATTCTAATCTAGTACGATGAAGTCATCATCGTACTGCTTTCCTTCTAGCGTGTAGTGGACTCCCACTACACGTTTATTCACTGTTACAGATGTGCCTGTAGCAAGGCACACCGTCATCCTCGTTGGAGGGAACTCTCGCTCAACATTGTTGAGCGAGAGCACTACCCTCTAGCGACTGGCGTCGAAAAACTTTTCGACTCCCACAGTCAACTAGGGTGCGAAGTGACATTCCACTTGTCACTTCGATCGTCAAAGTGATGAGGGATACCTCATCCCTAGAGGCAGTAACACACAGTGACTGTGTGTTGGGAGCAATCTTCGTCAAGAAACCTGCAAATTCTCTTGACGTTGCTAGATCGGCAGGGTGCTCCGCCCCTACTGACCCTGACCGTTTTTTGGCAGTCCGACTTGTTGTCGCAGCTCAGCGACATGGTCGGACCCGCGCCTTGGAACATTCTGAAACCAACGGCGGTCATCACGTCCTGTCTTTGGACGTGATGTGGTGCTTGGGACACTACACTCGTGTGCGTAGTCTCCGATCTTCTGACAGTAATGACATCTTGCCGTTCGCTTGTGATTCAGGTAGCGAACGTTCTCGCTCTCGATGTAACAGAGGTATATTATTTCGAGACGTCCCCTGTCGACTCGTCGGACGACCTGTCGTCTCGTCGGACGATAGTTGGACGAGTTAGCCTGAGACTATCTTAGGCTAAAGTCCTCTTGCTCAGCATACGCTATCGCCCTTTCCAGCGTATGGAAGTCCTCCCGGAACATGTAGGTCTTCACCGGCCAATCCACAAGGACGTTGATGAACACGTTGATGAGCGTGTGCTCATCAACAGGATTTTCAGTGACGCTACTCGTAATGTAGCATAGGTGTTGTGTATAAGCATGCGCATCACGCTTGCCTTGCTTGAGCCTCAAGAGTGCAAAGCGTGCCCTGAAATTTGCTCTTGGTTGATCAAATGTCTCTTTGCGACAAGACTTCAAGTTCTTCAACGACTCAAAGACGTATGGGTCGTGAAGTCTGATCCCTAACGCCCAAGTCTTTACTCGTCCTGTCAAGTTTGACAGGGCGAAGGTGACTTGCATCTCGTCATTCTTGATGTGCCGGGCCCTGATGGCATCGTCCAACTCGACGAACTAACTCTGACGGGAATCTTCGTCGGTTCCCTTATACCTTGAGATATCTATCTTTAAGATTTCGGGTCGACGCATGCGCGTTGGCCCGCCCGTCGACTGATGAGAGCCTTGCTGCTGTAGCAATGCTATCTTCTGCCTCTTGACAGCAAGTTGACTTTGTAGGAACTTGTTGATAGCGGCAAGCTGTTGGTATCCGTCAAAAGAATCCAACATGCCACTAATAGCGGGTTCGCCCATAAGCTCACTCGTGCGGCTGACTACATCCCATTCTGAGTCACTTGTATGGGTGTAGCCATCAAATGTGACGTGAAAGCTGTCGTCTTCTTCAGCATCCAACGTGATCATATTGGACGGTAACTGAGTAGTCGCTGGACGGACTACAAAGTGCTACCAGGTGTAACGGGCCACCCTTCGCTTGGGGTGCCACAAAACTTCACGTACACTAGTACGAGCAGAGGAAGATAAATTTACTTTAACGACTCGTTTAACTAAAGGTAAAAAGCGAATCGTATTCAACATAGCTAAGCTATCAATGTAACTAAAATCTTTATCTAACTTTATTAACCTACATTGTTTTATGACGACAACCTGCTCACCACTCATTGCGTGCGTCTAGCAGCGATTGGTGGTATTCTATGGTTGATATATAACAACATCAACTGATCTTCGACAGCAGGTAAATATTACCTTTAAGGGTAATATTTCCTCAATATTACATATATCGGGTAATAATAGCAAGGGATTGTCATGTCCGACGATCTATCTGTTGTCACTGTTGGTGAAACATGTAGCGGGCTACCCCGTCACAGATTTTCCGCTCCGATAATGCCTGTTTGCGCAGGAAATTATCATCAATTCGTAGTTTGCGGTTTTTTTATCTCGCTTCTTTTTTGTCATTATCGATGTCGACGAAGGCTAAAACGCGTGGCGCGAATCTATAGAGCGAAGTTTCTGTTATATCCCTTAAGTATTCTGCGCGACACGCACAAGAAGAAGACCATAGATTTGTGCGTCGTCTGCGAAACAGCTTCCGCAAATCGATAGATTACAATACGCAAATGCTGGCACGCGGACAATATGCAGACGTATTAGCTGCCGTATCATCTTAAAAACTATCGGTAGTATTGTACAGGCAGCATCCAACATATCAAGTCTTACACAAAGACATTCGTTTTAACGAGAAGCGGACGAGTTTAAAAACGGACTTTATCTAAGTTTAACACCTAACCATATATTAACTGTTCGTCAAACAATTTCATATATTACCGGCATCATCGCCGATACAATATTATTCTTCGCCGTAGCTTATGTTAGAGTCGATTAAGGAAAGTGTATTTCTGCTGGGATGCAGGTTGAACAGGTTAAGCAGGTTGAATTCGTTAGATAGTACCGGTGTGGGAAAGGAGATGAAGTGACAGGTGGTGAAAATGCAGGACGCATATATTGAGAAAAATTGTAGCATCGCAAAACAAGTCTGTCCAGTCAAGTCCTTTTCCGTAAATTTGAAATAATTAAAGAGTTAGCAGGGTGTTGTGATTGAGTGATCCTTGTGGTGGTGTTTACGATCGTTTCTTAAGCCCAAATTAATTTAGACTACGCAATACTAAATGATTGTCATCGCATATTAGACAAACATGCAATCTTCCGCCCCAAAAATGAACATGCAATAGTCCATTTCTGGCAACGACGTCGATAAAAAAGATAAGGATCGTCTCAAACGGAGTTCCATGTATGGAATGGAGACGATAATTTTTTTTACAAACATGCGATGATGAACGCGTTATTTAAAAGCTTGATAGATCAATTGCTATATGCCACAAATGACATGATAGCATCCGGTGCGACAAAGAGAATTGAACTATATAAAAGAAGCAGGCTTGGACTATAAATTTATTTTACGGTTCGCTTTCTACAAAACTGGCCAAGCAAATTATGAGTGAGTGAGAAGGTAAGTTATATTAAGGTATGCGTACGACCTACTGTATCGTGTCATCCGGCAACAAAGTTACCTGGTCGACTGCTACTTTATATACTAGGTAGCACTATACCTCCGACAGCAGCGTGCCTACGCGCAGACCCCTGTCTCGATATTATTAATTCCTCTAGGTTAGCACGGGGCCCTTTATTAAAATTTGACGTTCAGCTTAAGAGGTGTCCATCCATTATTGATATCAGTATCACGTAAGGTCGAAGTCTCTTGCACCAGACCTATGCTAGAGATAGCGTGCGTCTGAAAAATGTCTCGTATCCATAGTGATTTTTGCCAACCCATCCGCCTTTTTTTAATGAAGAGATGATGATTACTTAGCTGGCAACAATGCTACTGTTA